AGTACTGGTGGCCGTTCATCCTGACCGGTAGCACGTGTCCTCACCATCTGTGAGAGAATAGAATAATAGAAGTTTAGTTACTAGAATCAACAGATTCGCATGACAAGAATTTAAGAATGTGAAGTTTTCCTAAAGGTTCTGCAGCCTCTCGAAGATAAGTACAGACGTCTTCGTACCGATCCACAAGACTCTACTAAACCTGCTCAAGACCGTGAGACCTATGTAACCTAGGCTTTTATACCAACTTGTCACGATCCAAAACCAACCCGGTCATGATGGTGCCTATCATGGAACTAGGCAAGCTGACACACTCCTAAAAAATTGAATATTTCATTATTAGATAATAGCCCTTTTCAAACAAAAATTTTCGTAAAGATATTAGTTCAAAAACTAAAATGCAGAAATAAAAGCCCGACATCGGGTGTCACTAAGTCATGAGCAACTACTACAACTGTTCTGAAATATAGCAAGACTACATAGTCTGAGAATACCAAAATACACTAAAGGGAAGATAAAGAAGGAGAAAGGCAGGTCTGCGATCGCCAGACAACTACCTCGCTATCTCCGATGGAAGTCAGCAACTGGAGTAATCAATAGCCGCTACCGTGGCTTGAGATACCTGGATTTGCACACAAGGTGCAGGGGGTAACGTGAGTGCACCAACTCAGTAAATAACAAGTCCAAACTATGGACTGATAGGTAGTGAAGGACTAAACCTCAACAGGTAAACAAATTTAAATTGTGCAGTAAAGTAGGCATGCTTTCAATTCAAGTATTCAGCTCAAGCAGTAAAGTAAATACAAATCTAAACAGTGTGGAGTATAAAGCTTAGCAGATCCCTACGTGCCAATGCACAAAATGCATGAAAATGTACCATGTGCCTCCACTCTCAATTGCTCAACCACTCGGTACTGTATATAGCCATCCGACCCAGGGAAATCCATGAACAGGATCTATACATCTCGATCGGAAAATAATCAAGAGAAAAAGAAAGAATCGGAATTGATCGATAGATTTCTCAAAACAAACGAAAAGGAAAGCAAGATCCATCCCAGAATATATACACAATATTGACAACCGTCACTCAGTACCGAGGAAGGCCATTCCATCCCTATGGAGAAGATCCATCTCCAGGCATAAATACTTCGGACAAGATCCATGTCTAGGGAAGATCCATCCCTCAAAATATCGACTATGCTCACTGGGGGTGTGTTACAGACTCCGGAGGGGCTCCTACAAACCAAGCGCTATCATAATCATCAACATAACCGCTGCGGCGTGCAGCCCGATCCCATAACTGTCACTCATAATTAGGCTCTCGGCCTCACTCAGTCATCACTCTCCAGTCTCACACACACGGGCTCACAATGCCATGAAACTAGCCCGAAACAATGATATGATGTGCCAAAATAATAAGAACTGATACTGAGACATGATATGATATGCATGAATAAGAATGAGTACAGAATATCAATGAAACCAATGAGATGACAGCAAGAAACGACCACTCGGGTCTCAACAGTATCGGCGTGAAGCCCTAACATGATAATTAGCATGATTTACCGCTCATTTACTTAATCACATAATAGAAACACGGATATCCGCAAGAAAGAGTCACTAAGCAGTGCCATGGAATTAACCAGGACACAATTCTCACGATGCACGCCCACACGCCCGTCACTTGGCATTTGTGTCACCTTAATACTAATCACATAACACATAGTTCGGGGATTCGAACCCTCAGAACCAACTTTGGAAGCGTTACATACCTCAAACAAGCCAAATCCTACTCCGCGACGCCCTTGCCTCTGGAGTCGGCCTCCAAACGTCCCGAATCTAACCAAAAGCAATACAATGCAGTCAATATAGGCCAAGGAACCAATCCACACGAAAAACTATCAATTTAGACCAAAATCCCGAAATTCACCCAAACCCGCCCCCCCAGGCTCACGTCTCGGAATCTGACAAAAATCACAAAACTAGGAAGCCCTTTCACTCACGAGTCAATCCATACCAAGTTCATCAAAATCCGACATCAAATGGTCCCTCAAATCCCCAAATCAAACTCTCCAATTCCCAAGCCCTAACTCCTCATTTTCACCCCTAACCTTCACTAATTGCATGCTTAATCAACGGGAAATCATCAGATATACGAGTATCAGGGCTCAAGCCACTTACCTTGCTGATAAAGCCTTGAATTCCTCCTCAAAATCACTCTCAAAAGCACCATAGCCGACTAGAAATTGATGGAAGATGAACTAAAATTCGCGAAGTCCACCTTTTATACGTTCTCCCTAAAACTTTTGCATTTTCGGTCCTCTTGTCGTTTCTGCGACGCCGCACCTACAGAAAATCCATCGCAGGTGCGGATTTCACTTAAGTCCTCAGAATCCGCTTCTGCGGCCAGCTCCTCGCACCTGCGGTCTCGCAGGTGCGCTCCGCTAATCGCACATGCGGTTTCGGCCCTCCTTAGCCTTGGCCGCATCTGCGGCCTTTTCTCTGCTTCTACGGGTTCTTACCTGCGATCCCCACTCCGCAGGTGCAGTTATGACAGCTATGTTCAATCTTCAGCATTCTTCAATTTCCAACCTTGTTCCGTCAACCACCCGAAATTAACCCGAGGCCCTCGGGACCTCTATCAAACATACCAACAAGTCGTATATCAACATACGAACTTAGTCGTACCTTCGGAACACTCAAAACAACATCAAAACACCAAATTACCCTCGGATTCAAGCCTAAGAACTTCTAAACTTCCAATTTCTGCAAACGACACCGAAGCCTATCAAATCACCTCTGAATGACCTGAAATTTTGCACACACGTCACAAATGACACTGCGGACTACTCCAACTTCCGGAATTCCATTCCGAGCCCGATATCAAATTTTCCACTGCCGACCAAAATCCAAATTTCCAACTTTCGCCAATTCAAGCCTAATTCTACCACGGACCTCCAAATCATATTCCGGACGCGCTCCTGAGTCCAAGAGCTAACGGAACCATCAGAATTCGCATCCGAGATTGTTTACACATAAGTCAACATCCGGTCAACTTTTCAAACTTAAGCCTTCCCAAAAGAAACTAAGTGTCTCAAATCCTCTCCAAATCTACTCCCGACCCGAACCAACTGATCCAAGATATCATAGTGTAGCTGAAGAACACAAAAAGAAGCAGAAATGGAGAAACGGGGCTATAACTCTCGAAACGGCCGGCCGGGTCGTTACAATTTACATATATATATATATATATATATATATATATATATATATATATATATGGTAGGGTTTACTGAGTTGGATGGGTGAGTATCAAGATGTTTTTTTAGCCTGTTTGGACAAGGTTCTAAAATCACATTATTTTGAGACGTGCTTTTCAAAAAAAGTACTTTTGGTGAAAAATAATTTGTGTTTGGCTATTTAGTTTAAAAGTACTTTTGAGTAGCAATTGATCAAATTTTTTAAAAAGTGATTATAAGTGTATTTTTCTACTTTTGGAGAGAAACTACCTTTTTTCGCTTCTGCTTCTTCTCAAAAGCAATTTTTTTTTCTTCCAAAAGTTTGACCAAACACCATAATTTTAGAAAAAAATACTTTTGCCTCGAAAGAACTTGGCCAAACAGGCTAAAAGAAAAAGTATAGAGATTAAGAAAAAAACGAAGATTAGAAAACTAAACAAATATGAAAATTCCGAGCGAAAAAAAAGGGCGACCTAACACTAATTTGAAACGTAAAGTTTACCCCAAAAAAAATCTCCTTGAAATAAATAGAGGGGGTGAAGAGGTTAGGGTAGTTTCAATAGCATTTGACAGCCCTAAAATCGGCAGTCCAATTTGAACAAATAATGCGAATCAAACGAGGAACCCTAACTAGACAGAATTGAGAGAAGAGAGAAATTGAGTTGAGCTCTGTATTTCAGAATAATGAAGAAGGGAAAAGTGTAGTGTTACATTGACTAACTAATCACGTAACATCACATTTTAACTAACTATTCAACTGCCACGTGTACACATATATATGCTATTTAATAAATTTGTAATAATAATATTCTACTCCGATACTAGTCCTATACACTAATGGGTCGTTTGGTTACCGGTTAGAGTTATGCAGGTATTAGTTATACATGTATTAATTATGCAGGTATAAGTTATGTATGTATTAGTTATGCAGGAATAGGTAATGCAGGGATTAGTTATGCATGTAGTATTAGTTATGCAGGGATAAGTTATGCAAGGTTGGGTTATGTTGGGATTAGTTATGCATGGATTAATTATGCGGGGATTAGTTATGCGGTAGTTATATAAGGATTAGTAATATAAATGTAATATGAGTGTTATTTATTATTATCTTACTTTATTTTTATTAAAATTGTTAGTATAGTTTAAATATATTTATTTAAACAAAAAAATACAAGTTTGAATAAAGGGTATTCTTGTCATTTTGCGTTTTAATACAAGTATTACTAATTATGTATAAGTTATTCCACCTTCTACCTTGCATAAATAATACATAGATTCCCTCATAACTTATACATGTATTAGTTGTACATGTATTAGTTATGCGGAAAAGAAAACACATGAACCAAACATTATATTAGCAATGCTATATTTTATGTGAAAAAGAGGAAAAAACAACCAAACATTGTATAACTTATGCTAGCTTCTATGTGGAGATTATTCTTCCCCCTTCTTTTAACCAAACAATGTATAAAGTTATCCTACATTTAATACATGGATAACTCCATTCTAACCGGCTACCAAACGATCCCTAACACTGATATCTCATGTAATGCCCATTTCATCACAATTATAATTTATTTGATCCAAAATTTGCATTAATCCCAAAAAATATTCTCCTACTGTCCTACAGTTTGCAATTTGAGTCTGCACATGTATTTATTTTTATTTCTCAGTTTGTTTTTTGAAAGCGACGAAGGAAACGGCCAGTTAAAAGCTTTTGGCCTGCCAAACCGAGTAGAGAGATGTAGCTTCAGCCAGGTAAATATATGCATCATGAGTCTTGTACTAAGAGCTAACATAGTTGTACCTTGTACACTTAAAGTGACTGTTGTGACTAGAAATTCCCAGTGTACTTGGCGCATTTTCTAATTATGTCCGTTTCTCTGTCTTTTTTCTCTCCTTTCTCTCCATTATTGCTGCCCAGTGTAACCTTTGAGCAATTTCCTCTCTTTTTGTTGTTTCCTCTGTTTTCATTCATCCACTCAATGGCCTTTGAGTTTCCTTTCATAAGCATCTCAGTTTTTCTGGGAAGATTTTATACCCCTTTTGTTTGTGTACTCTATCCAAAGTTCCAATCAAAGGAAATTCACTGGTTTTTAGTGGGTTTTATGTGTTTTTATTGTTTGGTTTATGGGGTCTCCCGATGGAACATAATACAAGCTGAAAGGTACTTCTTTTTTGCTCATATTTGTGTTTCTTGATTGTTTCCTATTTTTTGCTTGGAGGGTATTTTGCATAGTTTATAAGATGAGCTTGAATGGAGAAACATGGTCAGTAAGGATTCATATAGTCGAGGGGTAATTATTGTTGTTGTAGGGTATGTTGCATAGTTAAGATACACTCTGGAATGTTTGGTTTGGTTAGAAAGATGGAATTGACATTTTATAGTTTTCCCAATCCAAATTTCCAACTAAGAAAATTAAAAGGATATCACCGGTTCTTGGTGGGTTTTATGTGTTTTTCTTGTTTGGTTTATGGGGTCTTTTGATGGAAGATAATACAAGCTGTAAGGTACTTCCTTTTTCACACTTGTACTTTTAAGGTTTGCTCATATTTATGTTTCTTGATTATGCCCTTTTTGTTCTTGGAGGGTCTGTTGCAAAGTTGGAATATTGGGTTTTGGTTAGAAGAGATATGGAATTGACATTTTAATACTTTTCCGAATTCTTGTTAATGACTTGTTCATGTTTAGTTAGAGTAACTTTAGAACTGAGTTTGATTAGAAGAAGAATAAAGTTGATATTTTTAAAGTTCTAACGTTAACAGGTTTATTTATTTAATTTATTTAGTTTTGCCTTGTTTTGATCTCTTTTATTTGAGCAGATATTAAGGTGTTCAATGATAGTTTTGTGAAACTTAAGTTGTTCTTCAAATCTAAGATTCTTTTTCTGTTTCTTTCTTTCCCCTTCTGATGAAATGGTTGATTGGAGAGTAGAGCTAATTGGCGGTTTAAGTATCTAGAGATTTTCTTTTGGTGTGAAGTATATGACCTGTGCAATTCAGAGTTTTGATGTTTTATCTATTTATTTTATTTGTGTGATTGCAAACATCTGTTGAGGAAATGAGTATATTTAAAACAACACAGTAAGGTATTTGAAACTTGAGTTTTTATTTTTAAGGATTTCCTGTGGTAGAATCATCAGATTAATTGGAATTGAACTATCTCTTTTGTTTGCTCTCATTTAGGTGGTTTGATATTCTAATCTAAGTGAAGATGGCCATGTCACTCGAGGACCTCCTTGCAAAGGAAGGATTTAATAGGAGGATGTCAAAAACAGTGCCTAGAGCTTCAAAGGCAAGAAGTGGACCTATTTATCCACTTCAAGAACCTCATAAACCTGTGTCTTCATCAGGCACAAGAAAAATCTAGAGACAAAATTTGCTATCCCGTGGCATGACTTGAAAGATAAGACCCCAAGTGTCAATTTTGCAGACAGGAGGCAAAAGAAGGAAAGTAAGCACAGGATGGGCTCGTGCGATCTATCATCGGATGTTAAGAGAATAAGCATTAGTTCTTTTGATGAATTGCTCGCTGCTGATGCTTCTCAAAGCAATGAGATAGTTGAGGTTGGAGAGCAAAGTGGTTCGAGATACAATCATATATACTCGGATCAAACTTACAGAAATGGGAGTGGTGAAGGCAGGTCTTCTAGCAGAAGTGAGGAAGCAGAAGGAAAGCGACAATCCTTCGGAAAAGATACAAAAGCAACAACAAAATGTCTCAATAATTCTGGTAAACTTCTTTCAGGACATCCAAGCTTTAGAGATGATTATCAGAAACATATTGAACAGCCTGAGACCTCCTACAGCACATCAACCAGAAGTTCGTTAACCAACAAAAGTTATGGTGCAGCTGGAAGCCTAAGGAAAGCCGAGATTGAGCGCACTGCGGCTGTTCCTGCTCTTGATGAAGTTGTTGTTCACGCTGTAATCTCTATCTTGACTGGATATATAAAACGTTTTCTCATAGATGGAGATTTTAGGACATCACTTTGTCACAATATTTTTGCGTCCCTATATTTTGTTGGATTAGAAGAAGGCCTAAATACTGAAAGCAAGGTCCTAGCTACTCTTGAACAAGCTATAGGAACAGTTCAAAGAGCTGCAGAGGATTGCGCGAATGAAAAAGAGCTTAAGAAAACCTCACTTCAGCTTAGTGTAATAACGGGGTTGAACTCAAACGATTTACGAGATGGGTTTACATCTGGTATTCCTAATTTTAAATTGGCAGCTTGTGCTCATCTGTATCTCAGTGTCATATATAAGATACAGAAGAAGGATCGTATAGCTGCAAAGCACTTACTGCAAGTTTTCTGTGATTCACCTTTTTAGGTTTGTTGCCAGGATTTGTGGGATCACATTTTTCTTCCTCATCTTTCACATTTGAAGGTCTGGTATGATTCAGAAGCTAATTTTCTTGGTGATCTATATCATAAGTCAAGGAAGCTGAAGTTTCTTGAAAAAATGTACTATGAAAATCTGGACAAAGGCGCTTTTCAGTTTGCACTTTACTACAAGGAATGGCTAACTGAAGGGGCTGAGATTCCGTTATTTCCTTCTATTGAAATTCCTTCTGTATCTGTTCAGTGTGAAGGTTCCTTTAGCAACTCTTACCACTTAAATAGTACATTTGGCGGTTTCTCACCTCAGCCAGTTGTCAGCAAAAAGTTGTATGATGAAGTATTCCGTCATTCACATAAGCTAGAAAATGAGTCAGAGGAGCACCGGAAAGAAAGCTATGAAATTAGTGTGAGGAGGCCTTCTAGTTTTGCTGCCGAAAACCTGGTAGTGCCATACTCTGCGGAAGTGATTTAGTGTATAGATCAAGATGTTGAGCCTTGTGCTACAGTTGATTCAGTAAGTGTGGAATACATAACTTTAGTGAATTATATACATGTTTTTCCAAAATAAAGTTGGAATACAGAAGGAGACCGAGGAGTCTATCCTCCGTGCTCCTCCTCCTCTACTTCTATACTCAGGAAAATGCTTTAGCTCTTTGATTGCACAGTAACATTCTAAACTTTTTGTTCTCTATTTTAACACAAAGAGAAAAGGAATGAAAAAGAAAGGGATACTTTTTGCTTTTTCATTATAATCTCACCACTTTACTTTGAAAATGCAGCGAACCAAGGTAAGGTGAAAATCATTTTTGAGAGTATTCTCTTTACGTTGAGTAATTAGTTAATTGCTTATGATGATGCTTTGAATAGAAAGAATTACAGCCCATGTCACTTGGCCTAATAGCCCAACCGAAAATGGCCCACATTTGAAGCTCTTACCCTATCATGTTGTACATAACTTAGAAAAAAACTTTTCAGCCTTTAGCCCACTATTAAAGACATACTTTTAGGGTTTTTATTATTTTCTTCTTTCTTCATTCCCTTCTCTCTCTCACTTCTTTCTTTCTAACCCACATAGATCCCTCATCCTCTCTTAACCTAGCCCCCGCTATTCCCCCTCCTCTACCCCCCACGCAGTTCTGCCATTAATGGCTCGAAGAAGGCTCGAAGAAAGACTCCGTCATCCATGGTGGCAAGCAGAAGAATGAAGAAGATTTTTGAAAGAAACATGAAAATACACACAGATCTGAAAATAAATAGCTCTCAAACTTGATTTGCACCAAAAAATAACCATTAATGTTGGAAGATTTTGAAGTTTCAAGTTCTGGTCATTATTATTATGACCTTGAAGTCTCGAATCTGAAATTGGGTTTGGATAAAAATCATAACTATGTAGCAGTTTGTACCAACACTGTATACTAGTGTATAATTGTGTATATGGATATACAAACACCTCTTATACACTATTATACATGTTTATACAAAGTTATACAGTATTGTATAATTATGTATAAATGTGTATATTTTTGTATAATATTGTATAATTATATATTTTTTCAGGTTATAAGGATGTATATACATTGTTAGTGTGTAAGAGGCCTATACAGAAGTTTGACACTTCCTTCTCTTCTTCTTTTTCGTGTAATGTGTTGTATGAGTGTTGGAGGGATTCTACAATTTATTTACCAAGTTTTTATTTTTATTTTATCCTGTTGGATTGCTTCAGCAATTGCACATAAAAGTGTTTGAATTTCTTACCTTTAGATAATATGTATTATTCAGGATTTTTGAGTTGCGTTGTGGCTGATTTGTATTTTTTTATCAAATGCTTAATAATCAAAGGAAATCAACAGAATGAAAACAGCTGGTTGTATACAGAGGGAGCAAAATAAGCTGTCTTTCGGGAATTAGCCTATTATTTTTTGGGCTATAGATTTGCAAAGTGGTATCTAGCCTATTATGTTGCAAGTCAGGTGTGTGAGTTGTATTTATGTGAAATTATCCCTTGAAAATATGTAGGAGTCAATTAGGAGTCAAGTACTTAAGTGCAGAATTTTAATCTTTGATAATCTTTATTGATAAAAGGGTGTGTTTGGTGTGATATATTCTAGGAAACTAAGTACTTCCTCCGTTCCCAATTTATGTGGCGGAGTTCGAATTTCGAGGGTCAAATGAGTCAATGTGATCTTTTCAAATATCTTTTAGATATTTTGAATTATTAATTATTGTGATTTATAATTTCTACGTAGTTTTTAAATATATAACTTTTATTTTTAAAAAACTTAAAGATTTTGGGTGTGTTTGGTACGAAGGAAAATGTTTTCCATGGAAAATGTTTTCATAGAAAATGAGTGATTTTATCACTTATTTTTCCTTGTTTGGTTGGTGAGTGAAAAACTTTTTCCGGAAAATATTTTCCGGTGTTTGGTTGGAGAGTAGAAAATATTTTTTTATGTTACTATCCTCACCCCCATTCCTCCAAGTCCCCATATTTCCTCGCTCACCCCCCCCCCCCCCCCCAAAAATACCCAACCTTTTTCAGAACTTTATTTTCTTCAAGAATTTAATTATTTTTCTAAAAATTTACACAAACCCAAAAGGAACTAATGTGTTGCTTTACTTTTTAGGCAAAAATAACGTTAAAATTTGTGTTTCATAACTGAAAAGAAAACACTCTTTTTTTGGTTGAAAAAGAAAGTACTCTTTCTACAACATGAAAATAAAGTACTCATTTTATTAAAATAAAAGAAAATACTTTTTATAGCATAAAAAGAAAATACTCATTTTGTTGAAATGAAAAAAAGTACTTTTTCTACATCATGAAAAAAAATACTTTTTGTTAAAATGAAAGAAATACTTTTTCTATGAAAAGAAAGTACTTTTTTTGTTGAAATGAAAAAAAAGATTTTTTATATCATGTAAAAAAATACTCATTTGTTAAAATGCAAAAAAAATTCTATCTATAACATGAAAAGAAAGTAGTATTAATATTATTTTTATTTAGAGTGGGGGTGGAGTGGGTAGGCGTGCAGTGGGGGTGGGGTAAGGGGGTGGGCTGGGTAGGCGTGCGGTGGGGTTGGGGTTGGATGTGTTGGGTGTGGGGTGGTGGGATGGGGAATAGGTTGGGGAAAGTTGAGAAGGAGTTTTGAAAAATGTTTTCCCTTCTCTTGATAAGGAAAACATTTTCTTCCAATTGGAGAAAAATAAGTTCATGAAGAAAATGCTTTCCAAAACATTTAAGCCAACCAAACATGGGAAAATAAAAAAATATTGTCCTTCATACCAAACACACCCTTTATGTTCGAATTCAAGGTCAAAATTTAAAAGTTTAACTCTTGAAATTTGAACTCTGCCGCATAAATTGGGACAAAGAGAATAGTTTTCTTGCTTATTTTCTTTTTTTAATGTTTGATTAGCAAACAAAAAATATTATCCTATAAATATTTATATATAATCTAGCAAACAAATGTGGGATGGGGTGGTTTGGGATTGGGGGTAGGGGTGGCAGGGTGGATTGGAAGTGGGGTGGGAGTGTGAGTGGGAGTAGGAGAGTTGAAAGAGAGTTTTGAATTATTTTTTTTTTCTTATTGCTGGTAGGGAAGTCATTTTCCTTAAAATAAAATATAAAGATTATATTTTTCCCAACATTTAAGCCAATCTTCAGTGCTAGTGCATATAAATGGTAAATCTACTCTACTAGTGATGATAAGCTCGAATCTTTCTACAATAAGTTAATCACCAACTCAAGATCCTTTCAGTTAAAAAAACTTCTTTCCGCCAAGCTGTGCAAGCTTTTTGTTGCTCTCCACGCAAATAGAGCTAGGGGTTAGTTAGTAATCCAAATAAGTTACATGAAACAGGAAAAAAATTCCTTCTTTTCCAATTTTCAACAGTGATACAGAAATTTAATCGATAACCAATAGGACATATGCAATAACAATGACCATAAGATAATGTGGTAATGCACATCCATGCCCCATGCCTCCATTGCTTTTCTCCCAAACATTTTTCTGAATCTCCTCCCCAGAATTAGAGACTGATTGGGAACATGATGCTCTGGAGATTAATAATGTTAAGATCAAAACAAGCAAATAAATACACAAGAAGCAGCAGAAATCAAAGACAAAATTCAGATTACACTACAAGAAAGTGAGGATACGACGACATTTATTTAGTGACATATGAAATAAATGTCGGAAAAATATAAAATTCATGTCATTTGTGAACAAATGTCGTAAAAACCACGACATTTGATACAAAATGTCACAAAAACAATGACATTTGATATTAAGTGTTATCAAATATGACATTTGATACAAAATATCGTAATACCAACGGCATTATTGAAGAAATATCGTCAAAATTATGACATTTGATACAAAATATCATAAAAATAACGACACTTGATACCAAATATTGTAAAAGAGACATTTGATATAAAATATCGTGAAAACAACAACATTTATGAAGAATTATCGTAGAAACAACAATATTTATGAAGAAATATTGTAAAAACTACAGCATTTGATATAAGATGTCAATAAAACGACATTTGATACAAATGTAAAAAAAAAAACATAATATTTGATATAAAATATAGTAAACACGATGTTTGAACAAAATATCGTAAATGTTATGACATTTGATACAAATGTAAAAAAAAAAAAGAGTTTTACTTTAAATGTCATATTATAAGTCGATAATTACGAACATGTACATCTAATGTTGAAAGATTAAGATTTTTAATTGTTAAATTATTCCCTGTCTAGAATCAAAACAATATTATATATATTATTATATTTTTAAAATATTGTGATATTTATCCTCCAAATAGACGAGCTATGCGATTGTCGATTAATGTCTTAAAAGTATTTGGGACTCGTCCATGACTCACTCCTGGGCTAGGCACTTGTTGCGACGGCTCATGTGTGAGGTTTAGTTTTGTGAGGCTTACGCCACAAATGTTTAATTGTGCATCTTGAACACGCCATCCTTAGCGTTCGGGAGTTACTACGTAAATCATATGTTAAATTTTCTAATTAGTAATATTGACCCTCAAAATAATTTAACAATTGAATGATAAAAGTTCTAGTCATATATATATATATATATATATATATATATATATATGAAGATTGAGATTAACTAAAATATCTAGTCATAGTATTGAATTTTTACTAATTGAGTGAGAGCATCGTAAAGGTAAATATCATTTGAATATTTCTTTTGAAAATAAATACCGAAATTTATATTCACTTGCTATTGCTCTTTATTTCTTAACTTTATGTCTCCCAAAATTATTGGACTTTTATTCTTTTTACTAAAATTATACTTATTTATGAAGGAGTAATATTTACAAGTATATTACTTATAAAGTTTATTGATTATTTACTTTTTGAGAGGTAATTAAATGTGTAGTTTTAATATTTTTTAAAAATATTTAATATTTTAATTATTTCAAAGTTCAGACGTTATAGTTGATTTGTATGATACTCCACATTAATAAGGATATAAAGGTGTTTAGCCAAATAATAATAATAATAATAATAATAATAATAATAATAATAATAAGATAAGAAAAGGTAAAAAAAAAAAAAAGTTTAAAAAAAGGTATAAAAAGATAATGGGCCAA